CCGCTGTCAAAGGCGTATTGGCGGGAGCTTATTTAAACGTATGATCCCTGATGCTTCCCGTAGACGCTCCTGTTTCCTTCTAACACCCCGCAGTCTGGTCAGATCTGCATGGCCACAGATCGGATCCTCGTCCACTCCTCCATTGCGTCGACATTTATGGAAGCACTCAAGAGCGCTTTGAACTCGAACCTCGACCCATCCTCTCCACCTCCAACTCTGGTCAATGTGGCCTCTAAAGCACGAGTTGAGCGTCTAATCTCGGACGCCTTATCGAGTGGTGCCCATTTAATCCACGGATCCGCAAACCAGACGTTGGAGGCTCAACCCGAGGCTGGCGTTCGCATGGCCCCTGTCCTCCTTGGTGGCGTTAGGGAAGATATGAAGGTTTGGCAGGAGGAGGCGTTCGCCTCATTGGCAGCGTGCATGGTGGTCGACAGCGATGAAGAGGCCATCCGGGTCGCAAACAGTAGTGGATATGGCCTGTCAGCTTCGGTATTCACCGAGGACTTGCGCAAGGGATTGGCTATGGCCAAGCGGATTCAATCTGGGTAAGTCTAGTCAGGTCTTCAGCCGTGTGCCTTGAAATCCATACTGATGGGCTGTAGCGCTGTCCACATCAACAGTATGACCATTCACGACGAACCCGCCTTGCCACACGGCGGTGTCAAGAACAGCGGATGGGGCCGGTTCAATGCCGCTCAAGGCCTGGAAGAATTTCTGGTAACCAAGAGCGTTACCTGGATGGATTAATGAATCATGACGTACATATAACCTGGGTCTCATAAGTAGTAGTCATTGTATATAGTTCGGCTCGTCGCAGCGATAATCGCCCAAATAATGATGATTGAGTAAAGATTGTTTCCATGAACTTCTACATAGTTACTCGGGATAGTGAATAGTAAAATCGCGTGAACAACCCCCGAAATGTTGACGCAAAACTCTTTGTACCGCCATTACTTGGATCTGCGACTCGGCATATACCCCGAGATTCCCGACCAGCACTGCTGCGTTTCGGGATATATACCACCGAGCCATACTTACGTCCAGCTACAGCGTACAACAGTAATACGTAGTAATACAGAATACAACTAGACAGTAGCTTAATCCGACAACATGAAGAAGCAAGTATATAAGACTGAAACAGTTCCTAGATTGACCTGGAGCAAGGTACAGCTACTGTCCATCGGCTATTCACCGGCCCAAATCAGCAATTTCAGTTAACGGACCGGGGCCCGCGGTACCTATTGTGTCATTCCACTGGCGCGGCAATTGAGAACCCCGCTCCTATTGGCAGAGCAACCAGGAATGTCAATAGCCGGAGTATGCACGTGATCAATAGCCGACAGTAACGGCGGCCCAAGCTGTCAAGAGCAAGAGGGAATGTTGAGCTGAAGCAAAAAAAGAAAAAGGGAGGTACGGGAGTAGGTAGAGAAAAGGGGTGTTTATTATGAATATGGCCTGATGCTACTTGGACCCATTCATATCTTTAGTGCACAAGCTGGCTGGAAATTGGCGGACAACCTTAAGATGTCTCGGTCCGAGGTACTTCTACAATAGGCAAGGGAAAGGTTTGGGTATGGGGTAATCCGCCACCGATCCTCCCGTCTACGGGTCTGGGGATGGCCCATTCCCTGGGGTACTAGTCAATATGACAACTTGGGGATAGAGAGTTCTTGTCTAGTAGTTCTTATAGTGGACTTTTCTATGTTGTGGATATCTATATGGTATTTGGGTATACTCTTGATTAAAATGGATCACACGGAACAGGGCATACAGACTCGCAAAAGGGGACAGACAATTCGTACCCCGGGTAAATCTTGTCCTTAGCAGATCTCTAAGCTTTGAGCAATAAGAAGTGAAGAAATATGATCATCAGGTGAAACATGACGTTCCGCTGACTTAAGCTTGCCCTCTCATTTGCTGAGAGGGCTCGGACATGTGAAAATAAGTGGTGTCATGGGGGGGCAGAGACAGTGAGAGGACAACGCCTGATGGTTTAGCTTGCAGGGCCTGGACGACTGATGACTACTACTACTATGGAACTAAATAAATACATGCATACATACATATACAGTATCGATTTGAAGCATGTGAAGGGTTCTTATCCCTGCTACTGGGGGAAAAAAAAAGAGAGAACCTTAGAACATGTTCTGTACCTTTTTGATACCTATACTCAGAGTTGACTCTCAAAGTTGATAACATTTAAGCCTTTACCCACAATAGACATCAAGGTCCGCCAAATGGGTCAACAGATCTCCAGTTTGGTGGACAAACCAGAATCGGTGTAATAACCCTTTACTAAGGAGGGACCACTTTCCCCGTCTTTTCATTCAGCACGGTATGGATGTATAGTAATTACCACCGAGGAAACGCGGTTCCTGCCTGGGAAGGAAGCGGTCCATGGATAGCGAAACGGTACCAGTACGGTACAGGGACATTCTCTCGAGCGATGAGCCTCGGCCGAAAAGCATTGTCGGCTTCTGAACCTTACCCAATCCAACTCCTCCCCCCGGATCTTGTGGTCCTTGAGAACTGCTTTAAGATCTCCCTGTCTCGTCCTTTTTCTCCCCGATTCTTTTCTTCTCCTCAGACCTTATTCCTCCTCGTCCTTTCTTTAGACTTATTTCTCCCTATACTTCATTTCTTTCACAATGGCTCCCGCCCCCAGAGTAATTGTTGTCGGCGGTGGATGTGAGTGATCGATCTACTAACCAAGCTTTCCCCGCAATTTGCTGACCATTACCTCGTCTCTCAGTGTCCGGTCTCTCCGCCGCTCACACCGTCTACCTTAACGGTGGAAATGTCCTCGTTTTAGATAAGCAAGGTATGTTATGCTCATGCATATGGCACTACGATCAATATTATCGCAAATCAGCGTCGAAAAAGCGATCGCGACTGACTTCCCATAGCTTTCTTCGGTGGCAACTCCACCAAAGCTACTTCGGGTATCAATGGCGCCCTTACTCGCACTCAGGTCGACCTGGGCATCCAGGACAGCGTCAAGACCTTCTACGAAGACACCCTGAAATCCGCCAGAGACAAGGCCCGCCCAGAACTCATTAAGGTCCTCACATACAAGTCCGCAGCCGCTGTAGAATGGCTGATGGATGTTTTCAACCTCGATCTCACCCTTGTTTCTCGTCTCGGGTAAGTGATACAATCCGGTGAATATGATAAACTCGATATTCTAACGCTGTCGCAGTGGTCACTCCCAGCCCCGCACACACCGTGGTCATGATGCCAAATTCCCTGGCATGGCCATCACCTACGCCCTCATGCAACGGTTAGAAGAGCTCACCGAGAAGGAGCCCGAGCGTGTACAGATTGTCAAGAAGGCCCGCGTCATCTCTGTCAACAAGACTGGCAACACCGTAACTGGTGTTACCTATGAGTATGATGGCGAGACACACACCGCCGACGGTATCGTCATTTTGGCCACTGGTGGCTATGCCGCAGACTTTGGCGATGGCTCGCTTCTGAAGCAGCACCGCCCCGACACCTTCGGTCTGTCCAGCACAAACGGCACTCACGCCACTGGTGATGGTCAGAAGATGTTGATGGAAATTGGTGCCAACGGTATCGACATGGACAAGGTCCAGGTCCACCCCACGGGTCTCGTTGACCCCAAGGACCCGACCGCCAAGTTCAAGTTCCTTGCTGCTGAGGCTCTCCGTGGTGAGGGTGGTCTTCTCCTAAACTCCGATGGCCAGCGGTTCTCCGATGAGCTCGGTCACCGTGACTATGTCTCGGGCCAGATGTGGAAGGAGAAGGAGAAGGGCAAGTGGCCCATTCGCCTCGTCCTGAACAGCAAGGCATCCAACGTTTTGGACTTCCACACCCGCCACTACTCTGGCCGTGGTCTCATGAAGAAGATTTCCGGCAAGGAACTGGCTAAGGAGATCGGCTGCGGCGAAGCTGCCCTTCAGAAGACCTTCCAGGAATACAATGCTATCGCTGATGGCAAGCAGAAGGATCCTTGGGGCAAGCGTTTCTTCCACAACATGCCCTTCGACATTAACGACACCTTCCACGTGGCTCTGATGGAGCCTGTCCTGCACTTCACCATGGGTGGTATCGAGATCAACGAGCACGCCGAGGTTCTGAACTCGGAGAAGCAGCCTTTCGAGGGTCTCTATGCTTGTGGTGAGCTTGCTGGTGGTGTCCACGGTGCCAACCGTCTCGGTGGTTCTTCTCTCCTGGGATGTGTTGTCTACGGTCGCGTTGCTGGTGACAGCGCCAGCCAGCACCTCTTCCAGAAGCTGGTCTCTGGAGGTGCTTCCAGCGCTTCTCAGCGCCTGGGCCAGATCTCTCTTCACATCGATCCGTCTACTCCAGGAAAGATCTCCGTCGAATGGAGCGGCGCTGCTGGCAGTGGTGCTCAGATTCCCGCAGGTGCTGGAACTCCTGCTGCTGCTACTGAGCCTGCTAAGGCTAGCGCTACCCCGGCAGGTGCTTCTTCCACCGCTAAGGCCAATGATCCCAAGAAGTTCGAGATCCCCGAGACCGAATACACCATGGAAGAAGTTGCCAAGCACAACAAGAAGGACGACCTGTGGATCGTCGTCAAGGGTGTCGTCCTGGATGTGACCAACTGGCTGGATGAGCACCCTGGTGGCGCTAACGCTCTCTTCAACTTCATGGGCCGTGATGCCACCGAAGAATTCGCCATGCTTCACGATGACGAAGTCATCCCCAAGTATGCCGCTCAGATTGTCATCGGCCGCGTCAAGGGTCAGACCCCCAGCCTCGAGCTTTAGATTGTGCAATAGAATGGGAACGATACATTTTGGACAGAGAAAATTTTCGACACAGCTAGTTCTTGATACATACCCTTTTCTCCGCGTTTGTCATTTATTATTACCATGATCATTTGTGATGATATACGGGGCAAGCTCCCCGTCTTTTCGTGTTTAGTCTGTACGATAGTACAATTGAATATTTCAAACTACCTTCTCACCACGTAACATTTCTCATCTTGAGCGTTCCCCATATCTTGTAATCTCATAAAATGCTCTATTTACTACTTTACCAGCAACCTCGGTACAGGATACATATTGTACAAAAGACCAGTGTATGGATATACAGTACATGACCACCGCCAGATCTCCCTCCCCAACCAAGCCCCTAGAGTTTTGCCCGCATATGCGTCAAAACCATCTTCAACCGCTGCACAGCAGGTCCGTCCTCTCCCCTTTGATCCTCCTTCTTCACCTCCAGCTCTTTAGCAGCAGCCTCCAAAGTAGGTTTCAACCAACCCCACACCTCATCATGATAACGTTCCTCCACGTCAACCCAATCCTCCGACCCTGGCAAACTAGCCAAAACAGTATCCCTTAAGGCAGCGGCATCTGCATCCGTCTGCGCAGGAGCACTATCTAAGATTGTATCAATTTCCGGGACGAGACTAGCAGACGTGAGACGGTGGGTAGATGGAGAGGAAGTGTTCGGTTGGGCAGGCATATGGCGGCGGAAGGTCTCGAGCATTTGGATCTCTGCTGGTGTGAGTTGTTGAGGGGGCGAGAGTTCTGTTTCGATTATTTCGGTGGGGTCGTGCGGAAATGTGGGATCGAAGTTTCTGTCTGAGAGGAGGGAGATGACTGCTGAGCCATCGGTTGGTTCTGAGGCGTGGTGGTGTGTGGCTGAAGAAAAATGTTCCGTCGCTCTTCTCTTTCCCTTGTCTATAGTCGAGGTGGATGTAGATGGCTCTAGGAAATCGTTGCCTGCTTGCGCGAACTCCTCCTCCGTCAGATGGGGAATCTCGAACCCACCCTGTTGGGGTGTAGTTGTTGAGCGGAACGTCCCCGCATTGCTATCACGCAATTGAGCCCCCGCCGATGATGGGGCGGAGGGTCCGGAAACTTGACTGTATTGTTCTGCGGCTGCTAGGGCTGAGGATGAGGATGTGGTGGTGCTGCCGGCTTTACTACCGGTCGTGAGGAACTGCGCTGCATCGCCTGATGAACCGGGGGCGGAGAAGGCTTGCCGGGCTAATCCTGAGGCTGAGCTTTGGATGCGACTTGCGAGGGATGGGGTGTTTGAGTTGTTCTTGTCACTTGGTTTGGCGGGATTGGGGGATTTGTTGGAGGGGTCGTCATTGCTATGGTTATTGTCGGTGCCCCGCTTCTTGTCTTCCGTCATGGTTCGGGTTGTACTAGTGTGGGGTTGTGGTTTCGAGAGGGACGGGAAAGAATTATGAGACGGGCGTTATTAGGTGTTGTTTATCAGAGCTAAAATTCCTGGGGGGATTAAGGGAGGGGGGGAATGCTCGATAGAAGAGATGGTCGATCGTGTATGGTTTGTAGATAAAGTATATGGCCTGGAAGAAGTTAAGCTTGTCTGTTCGGCTTAATGGAGTTTCGTCGGTTGGACAGAAATAGCATGTGACGAAAGATAGGTTGAACCGGCGTATGGAATTCGATGCGTGGTCTTTGGCGGTCGGGTGGGAATAGGGACTTATTTCGTTTAAAAAAGATTGTAGCTTTTACTCGTTGCATCTTCGTAGTAAAATGACGCAGCCTGAGGTCCTCAGATATATTTCATGGATATATAGATAGAAAGTTAGTATGGCTATTCTAAACAGCCTTGTAGCTAACCCACTAGATAGCAGCCAATTATGCCATTTTTGTTCGAATGATGATACTGTCCTGTTCACTTGTTAGTGTTCATGATTTCAATGATGAATTGTCGCTACAGCAGTTGATGCAATTGCTGTTATATTTCGCTCCATGTACTGGATGTATGTACTATAGGCGTATTAGACATGAAAGCTACAGTTATGTGCAAGCTGCTTTCATGATGGAGCCGTACTCCTGATGTAGAAATAATGAATGGTTAAGTTCAGAAACATAAATCCTAGTAAGGTTGAAGTAAAGACGCTTTCGTTGATGAGGTCAGTAGCAGATGAGATTCTTCTATATATAGGTCACGTGATGCGAACGATGATTCACTCCGAAACCAGCATCGGAAGCATGATCAATAAACAGAAAAGAATGCGAATCCACTTTTTGACCAAAAGGTGACGCAAGGTGAGGATTTTGTACTCAATTTCTTTAAGCGGAGCCAAATGACATAAAGTCCTTGTTATGCATAGTTCCCACGGACATTTGGGGAACCCGAGTATGAATAGGTAGATATGAGGAATTTCTGTTGGTAGAAAGAAGCAGGAGTACATTGGAAGGGTTACCAGTAGTAGTGTGTTGATGTCAGCGCCCAGTTGGCGGTGCGGGTGGGTTGCGTTGGGTCGTTGCGTGGGTTCACGGGCAGCCACTCCCTCACTCAATCTTCTCCCCACCACAAACCACCACCACCGGACGGTACTTTCCAATACCGCCCTCACCTCAATCCAAACACCTTACCTCCTCCCATCATCCTTCCCGTCTCTGCAACAACTCCCCCCCACACTTTCTTTCTCAACTACTCTCCTCTTCTGAAAAAGGTGGTTAGTTTGTGGTTGTGGCTGTGGTGGTTGCTTTATCAGTGCCCTTTCTTCGCTTTTTGCAGAAAAGATCAACCACGAAAATCAATTAGAGACGCTGCAGAGAAGAAAAGGACTGGAAAATCCTTCCCATCGTTCCCCGCCCTTCTGGTTTCGTCAGCACAGGCTGTCAATCCTTTGTCTTCTCCAGCCTGCAATTCACTAAGATCGATCTCTGCATCAGCTCCGGCCTTGTCTGACGTTGCGGCCCTATCTGACGACCACCCCATCCTCTCTTATCTCCACTCCTAAATCGGAACCGGAGGTCACTTTGTCATCGTACTCACTTTCGATCCTCTTGGTCGCGGAAAGCTACATAGACGACGACCGCGGAAAAGACTTGTTCCTTATCCCACAGTAACGACGCCAGTTTCTGGTGGCCCCGCTCTTTGACATCCCGATCCACCCACTGCTTCCACGAGTATTGTTTGTTGGCCAGCTGCCCCAGAGAAGGGTGGTTTATTGAAAGAAAATGGTAGACAGGGATCCAGGTACACCTACCTGGAAGTTCACACAGTGAGTTTAGGCCCTCTGTCTTCCCTACTGTGGTCGTTGGGAAGCTGTCCCGCCGATGATGTAACCATCTTTCCCGCTGGTCTCTCTGCCACAAGGGTCCGGAAGGCTTTTTCAGTCGCAGTGGCCAGCCTATCCGAGGTGATATGGAAATGCTAATTGGCTTTACTAGATGCTTTGGTGACAAGGGCGACGTGGAAGATATCACAGAAGGTATGTATAACACCTTCAACGCATAGAGTTGGATGTACCGAAACATCGCCTTCTTGATAGCGGATCTTATTTTATAGCTGCTAACACGGCTTCTCCCTCTAGCGGATATCATTTCTACTGTCGAGTTCGATCATACCGGAAATTATCTTGCTACAGGAGATAAGGGTGGGAGAGTAGTATTGTTTGAGCGGAATGAGACGGTACCAACTTCCCTGCAATATTACTCTCCACAGGTAGAAGGTCCTAACCGATTGCTTAGAAAAAAACATGCGAGTATAAATTTCACACCGAGTTCCAGTCCCACGAGCCAGAATTCGACTATCTGAAATCACTAGAGATCGAGGAGAAGATCAACAAGATTAAGTGGTGCAGACGATCAAACTCGTCTCATTTTCTTCTCTCGACAAATGACAAAACGATAAAACTCTGGAAGGTGTTCGACAAGTCGCTGAAGGTCGTTGCAGAAAATAACCTCTCGACTGAGCTTACGCCCGCAGGCGTTGGGGGTGGAGGGGCGCCTCGCGCCCCTCGTTTGTCTTTCAAGGATCCATCAATGTTGAAGCTTCCGCGGATGACGCACCATGATACCGTTGTGGCAGCCGTGCCTCGAAGGACATATGCAAATGCACACGCATACCACATAAACAGCATCTCCGTCAACAGCGACGGAGAAACTTTTATTAGTAGTGATGACCTCCGAATCAATTTGTGGAACCTTAATATTCAAGACCAGAGTTTCAACATTGTCGATATCAAACCCGCAAACATGGAGGAGCTGACGGAAGTGATTACGGCTGCGGAGTTCCACCCGACCAGCTGCAATTGGTTTATGTACGCCAGCTCGAAAGGCACAATCAAGCTTGCCGACATGCGACAGCGGGCGCTGTGTGATGAACACCATAAACGTAGGTGTCTCTGTGATGACATTCTGGTCAAAGCCCGCCCCGGACTGACTCTATCCTTACTGTATAGTTTTCGAACAGGAGGAGGATGCCTCCTCCCGCTCATTCTTCTCTGAAATTATTTCTTCGATTTCCGACGTACGTTTTTCGCATGATGGTCGCTATATCGTGTCCAGGGACTACCTCACTGTTAAAATCTGGGATGTCAACATGGAGCGCCAACCAGTGAAGACGATTCCCATCCACGAACATTTGCGGCCACGCCTGTGTGACACTTATGAGAATGATAGTATCTTTGACAAGTTCGAAGTGGTCTTCTCAGGGGACGCAGAGAATGTCATGACTGGAAGTTACAACAACAACTTTATGATCTACCCTACCGATCCTGCCAAGGAGACCGAGATTGTGTTGCAGGCGGATAAATCGGCGTTCAAAGCAAAGAAGGTTGGCGTGCCAACGCCGATGAACAAGGGTGCCAATGGCAAGAAGGGAAATACCCGAGCTGGAAGCCCTGGTGGTCCTGGCAGCCGGATGAAGAAGGAGACCGACGCAGATCAGATCGACTTTAACAAGAAGATCTTACACATGAGCTGGCATCCTTATGAGGATAGTATTGCTATTGCTGCTACTAACAACGTAAGTGACTTCTGTACCGTATCTCTGTCTTATCGCTGTCTATATGCTGACATTTTGCAACCTAATAGCTTTTTGTTTTCTCCGCATTGTAAGTACGCTACGGGATGGTTCATATTCATAAGTGGACAGGATGTCAATTTCGGGCAAATCATGCATGAAACAAACTATAAAACAGAAAAGAGGATACTAGCAGCAGCATCCGCAGTACCAAAATTTAAGTTGCCAGTTCAGGTTCAGATTTTCCTTCTACCCTTTTCCACCCCTTTGTTGGAATTTGGCCGTGCCTTCGCCGCCGGGAGCCAACCCAACCTAACCTATTCTCTAACTCCCCACCGCTTTAACGCTCTGATGATGTGTCCGTTTCGTTCTTTTACTTTACAGTGGGACTTGGTGATTTCTTGATGGTTCATTTGGGGGCGTTATAATGGGATGTCATAGAGAAAGACGTGGAGCCCCCAAAGGGCATCCTTTCCGTTTCTTGCCCAGTTCTGTCTACCCTTTGAACAGTTATGGGTGCAACACACCCATTTAGTGACGAGGAGCAAGGGGCCCTGGCCCTAACCATATCGCCGATCCGGCTAATTCTGGTATTGGCTACAGCTAGAGCAGGACAATTTGATGGTCTGGCTTGAATTGGGTTCGGTGTCTAGATACCTAGGGTTACCGAGTAGATAATGAATCTATGGGCTTTGAACTACTCTATCCCTTTGGTCTACTTGTGGGTACGATTGTCCATCTCTAAGGCCAGGGCTGTTACTGTTAAAGATCCTCCCGCGATGCCAGATCGTGTGTGCGCCGATTGATAAGTAATAGAAAATGGAATGTCTAAAACAGTTCAATCGGCCCTATAAGAGGAACAATGCCTTGAGTTTTGTAGTAGATAGTTAGCGACAATCATTTAGTAGATGACTGTCAAGGCCAAGTTTGCTGGATCCAGACTCGACATGTCGCCGGATTTATCAGTCAATGACGTCGGAGGTTTTAGGCTCTAAGGCTTGAGAGGCAGTCCCTGGCACTGCTGATCCCGCCTTTGCGTGAGCCAATCAACGGTTTGTCGGGCTGTGAATGCAAACTACGGAAAAAGGATAGTGCGAAAGAGAGGCGCTATAGATTAAAAAGGGTTAGCGTAGTCAAAGTCCCTCTCCGCCTTCTCTCTGGGAGGAGCCGTGATCGGTCGCGCGCAAACCATCATTTCCAATCAAGTCTGCCGCTTGCTGGCTTGAACAGTCTCTTTTACCTCCTTATTCCCTGTGTTTGCCTTCCTGGTATAGCTACCTTGGGTCTTGTACTCGTTATTACTTTGTCTGTGTTGTGCTTGTGTGGTTAACACAGTCTCCAACACAGTGATGTCGCTGTGAAATGACTTGGAGAAAGAGTACTCAACCGTGCGAAAAGGAATAACAGATCAAGAGCTTAGGCTGAAGATATCAGCGGCCCCACAACTCACCTTCAGACTTATACCCCATTCTTAATTAGATCATAAAGTCAGAAACTGTTTCTAGCATTTTATTCATGCACAGATCATGAACTCCTCTGGGAATGATAACTGGCACCCGGGCGGCCTGCCATCGCACCCGGGGATGGATCAAATGAACCAACAACCTCGCCCTCTCGGCTCCTTCAGGTGAGTGATCTCAGACAAATTCTATAAGTGACATTGAAGCATGCACTTTGGAGATGGGAACGTACTGATTTGGTGGTGTCCCTAAATAGTCAGAATCCACCGCCTCAACAAGGTCCATCGTCGCAGCCTACCGGACCGGTTCTTCCACCAGCTGGTTAGAATCCCCCTTCTATGCCACATTCCCACAATGCTTGCAGTGTGTATTGGTTTATTGACTTACTTTGTCTGCTGCGCCAGGCCCCTACCATCCGGCGAGCCAACCGGCAGGGCACTCACTTCCTGGGCTGGCAGAGTTGAGCCAGGGTCATGCCGGCCCACATCAACCTCCTGCCTATGGACAGCATCCTTCTGCTCCCTCTCATAGCGCGGGGCATTCGCTACCAGGTATCGGCCAGGCGATGCAACATCCTTCTCCTCAGTCCATTAACAGAGAGCGTGAGCTAGACTCGAGAGAGCGCGAATTGATCGAAAGACAGCGTCAGGAAGAGATGGCCCACAGAGAGCGTGAACAGCGTGAGCGCGAGCAACTTGAGCGACAACAGCTGGAGCGACAGCGGGAACAGCAGCACCACCCGGTTCAAAGTCATACGGGGTCGATTCCTTTGCATCAGCCTGTAGCGTCGAAGGTACCTAACTCCATACACGGCCCTAATGGTCTTTTGTCCAACCTGGGATCGAATCCACCCAACGGTCCCCAAGGGTCTATGCAGTCGTCTGGCGCTCCCGGTCCCATGTATGGCCCACAGATTCAACATGGAGAGGGAACTCCCAGGTCATACATGCAGCAGCACCCTGCTGGGCCACCAGGACAGCCCATGATGGGATTCAACGGATCTGGGCCTCAGATTCCGGGGAATGTTGCTGCGCTTGCCCAGGGCCAACAGCCGATCTTGAACGTGAGTATCCTTTGTTTTTATTCATATCGGCTTTGTTATTCCTAGAGGGGCAGATTAACTGACTAGTGATTAGGATGCACTCAGCTACTTGGACCAGGTTAAGGTACGATTCGTTGATCAACCAGATGTATATAACCGTTTCCTTGACATAATGAAAGACTTCAAAAGTCAAGCGTGAGTATTAGTCATCCAAGTGTATTCACTGAATACGTTTCACTAACAGTGACTGAAATAGCATCGATACCCCTGGAGTCATTCAACGTGTCTCTACACTTTTTAATGGTCACCCTGCTCTCATTCAAGGCTTTAATACCTTCCTGCCACCTGGTTACAGAATCGAATGTGGGACAGATGACAACCCAGACGTCATCAGAGTGACCACTCCCTCTGGCACAAACACTATCAGTATGCCCCCCCGCCCACGCCACTCGATGGATTCATCTGGCGATTTGGGTCCCTCTGGTGGGATGGCTCCTCATACTCGTCCAGAGTTCTTTGACCAATCTCGATCTGGCTGGCAGCAACACCAGCCCCAGCAGCAACAAAGCAACCTTCCTGGCTCCTACTCTCCTGGATCTCGTATGATGGGACCAGGTATGTTTGGGCAGCAAGGTGGACAGGGTCAGCCTCAAGACCATCACTTTGACTACCCCACACAACAAGAGCAGCAAGCAGCGGCGGGTGCAGCAGCTATGGCTCATGGACAGGACCAGCGGGGTGTATCGCAGCTTCAGGGTGCAGCTTCTGCTGCCTCTGCGGGTCTAGGCCGCCCTTCCCTCATGCAGGTGTCCCCCGCTTCAGGACAAAACCCCAGCTTAACGCAGCCTATGAATAGTCTGGCTGGCGTCGGTTCAAATATGCTTCAGGGCTCGTCGCAGGCGGACCTGAAACGTGGACCTGTGGAGTTCAACCACGCAATCAGCTATGTCAACAAGATCAAGGTTAGTCTTATGGTCCCTATCCATCCCGCCTACCCTTCGCCTTGCTGACGTTATATACCTTTCAAATAGAACCGCTTCGCAAGTGCCCCTGAAATATACAAGCAGTTCCTTGAGATCTTACAGACATACCAGCGCGAGTCAAAGCCTATCCAGGATGTTTACGCTCAAGTGACTCAGTTGTTCAATACCGCGCCAGATCTATTGGAAGACTTCAAACAATTCCTGCCTGAATCCGCTGCCCATGCGAAGCAACAGGCCGCAGCGCGTCAGGCAGAGGAGGCGGCTCCCATGAGCAATGTGCGTGGAGAGCCCAGTTATACCAGTGCTAACGCTCTTCCATCCCAAACTCCTAACCGTGATGTCAAAATGCCACCTCTCGGCCAGTTCAATGTTAAAGACTCTGGTAAAGAAGGGAAGAAGCGCCGACCAGGGCCTGGAGCTCCATCAACGCTGGGTCCGTCACTCTCGGGGCCATCTACAGGTGCGGATGCTGCACGAATGGGTGATGTTCAGGGGGGCCGTCCACCAACGCTCCAGCCTGGCAATGCCAACAAGAGAGCCAAGGTTCACCATACAAAGCCGAGCCAAGCAGAAGCTCCGGCAGTTTCGCCAACTCTCGTTCCTGCACTGCCCGAGCCAATTCAACCGACGTTTTCGCTTACACCTACCCAAGAGGAATTCGCATTCTTCGATCGTGTTAAGAAATACATCGGTAACAAGCAGACATTCAGCGAGTTCCTCAAGCTTTGCAATCTCTACTCAACTGATCTCATTGATCGGCATGTGCTTGTAAAACGGGCTGCTGGGTATATTGGCTCCAACCCGGAACTCATGGCGTGGTTCAAGCGGTTTATGCACGTTGAAGAGCCTGAAGATAAGATTGTCGAGTCCAAGCCGAAGCAAGAGCCCGGACTTGTTAATCTCTCCCATTGCCGCTCTTTGGGACCTAGCTATCGCCTTCTTCCGAAGCGGGAGCGGCAGAAGCCTTGCAGCGGCCGTGATCAGTTGTGCTATAGTGTTTTGAACGATGAATGGGCTTCTCATCCCACTTGGGCATCTGAAGATTCTGGTTTCGTGGCCCACCGAAAGAATCAGTACGAAGATGCACTACACCGTATCGAAGAAGACAGACATGACTATGACCATCACATTGAGGCTTGCACTCGCACTATCCAGCTGATTGAACCTATTGTCCAGCAGTTCCTCGTTATGTCCGAAGCGGAGAGGGCTGCTTTCAAGCTTCCTCCTGGCCTCGGTGGCCAGAGCGAGGCGATCTACCAACGCGTGATCAAGAAGATCTATGACAGACAACTTGGTGACAAGATTATCCGCGAGATGTTTGAGAGACCCTGTCATGTCCTACCCATCGTGTTGTTTCGCCTGAAGCAAAAATGCGAGGAGTGGAAAGCTAGTCAGCGTGAATGGGATAAGATATGGCGCGAGCAGATGCAGAAGGCTTATTGGCGGAGTCTTGACCATCAAGCTATCGCTAGCAAAGGAACGGACAAGAAACTGTTTGTGGCGAAACACATTCAGAATGAAATTCAAAATAAGTTTGAGGAGAGCAGAAATCTGCGCAAGAGCGGGTTCCAGGTCCCCAGACACCAGTTCGAGCTCACTTTTGATGATCCGGCAGTCTTAATCGACGCTACTCACTTACTTCTGACTTTCATCGACCGCAACTCTGCTGGGTTCGGAGCTGACCCCCAGAAGGTTATGACATTTATCAAGGACTTCATCCCCATGTTCTTTGGCATGGATCGTGATACCTTCCATGTGTACATGAACGAGCTTTCCACGGGTACCTCTCCGACTGACGAGGCTGATGATGAGAGTCTGGTTGCGGAAGAGTCCTCGACTCCTCGTAGTCGCAAAGGCCTTAATGGCAAGAAGATGGACCTCTTGCGCGATGTTCTAGAGCGTCGCAGCGAGAAGGCCAATCGGACCGAGAAAGAAGGAAGCAGAAGCAACCCTGCCAGCCGTGATGGCACTCCAGATGCAGTTCTGGTCCCATCGACACCTGTTCCGGACCCTACCGAGACTTTCGATGTAGCCGAACTGAAGTGGATGGAGCACCCCGGCCAGGGCAATTTCAATCTGGCACGGGAATACACCCTCAATGAGTCATATGAGAAAAAACAGCATCACTTGTACGCCAATTTGAATATCTATTGCTTCTTCCGCACGTTTGAGATTCTCTATACGCGCTTGCTTCGCATCAAATTACACGAAAAGGATGCTCATGAGGATGTGCGCCGCGCCCTTATGGCCAAGCCTGCTCAGGAACTCGGTCTTATCGACAAAGTCCCTACTGATTTCTTCTAT